TGAGTTAGGTTTGGAATAGAAGTTTCACAAAGCTGTGTTCTGCCTTTCACTGTCAAGGTACGCAGAGTAGAGCGGGGAGAAAGCCTCACAGTGCGGTCCAAGGCAAAATTCCAACAAATACTAGCCATAGAGCTGCATTTTACTTTTCAACCGGATCCTATTGATTTCTTTGCATCCAAATTTGGATCCACTGCGCTTGGTGTTTGATGTCCTTTGTCTTATAAGGAGGGAAATGGTTGTATCAAGGCTTCCTATGACCTTGTTGTTGTACTCCAGCCACTCCATCATGTCAACAGGGTCCATGTGTTGAACTCATGGGGGAAAATGGGAGTTGATTTGATATGTATGCTGTGCTGCAAGGTAGTGTGGGCCGTCGTGGTGACCAAGACATGACATCAGTTTTTGGTTGAAGGGAATCCACCCCTGCTTGTATTGACAGACCATTATTGGTCAGGATGTGACACACCTGTGACAGATTGGGACAGGTGAGTGCAGGCCACCAGAGGCAAGTCAACCCACCCCGGACCGCTAGAGATGCTCTAAAACTAGTCATAGTTTTGTTGGTAAGTTTGAGTGACTTAGGACAAGCTCAACTAACTGGTCACAAAATGAATACAATGATCCTTTAGTCAGATGAATATTTCCATCATTTGAAATATTATAGTATGCTTCAACAGTTTTTATTGATTTCTATTCTTTTAATCAGTTTGCTGCCCATTTGATGCTTTCTATTTGATCTTGCCTTCTATTTTTTCAAGAAATAAATAAATAAACTGACTAGTTAATTGTTATTGGGAGAATAAAGTCAGCAGATTAATGAGTCACATTAAAAGGCAATTTTTCCTTCATCAGAAAAAAAGGGGGTCATTTCATCATAACAACATTGCAAATTCAATCTTACTTTCGACAAACAGGTTTTGAATTCAATCAAGCTATGTGATTTTATTCTTTGGTGTGTCATCTTCCAAAGTGTTATGATCTTGTAGCCTCCTCTGGGACTTGCCAGGGGTTTCCCCAACTGGGGGATTATCTTCAGCCTCTGCACCTTTGTACATTCCCCAGTTCATTCCCCAGTCAGCAATCTACTATCTCAATCACAACATATTGCTAACTCTCAAAAAAGCTTTACTCATCCTCAAATAATCACAGTCCCCTCAAAATCATGCTCCAGCTGCTGACCGCAGCCAACCAATCACAGCCGCCACCCCTCCCCTTGTTGTTCTACCGCTACCGGCCTTTTGGCCGCAGCCCGCCCCCAGTCTCTGTTCCCCCTCAACCGCTTTGCCGACTGGCCAATTGTTGCTGGACTCTGACCGTAGCCGATCCATCACCGACTTCCACCCCCCTTGTCTGTCCGCCCGCTGCCAGCCGTTTTCCCACAGCCTGCCCTACTCCCTGTCCCCCACCAACTACTCTTTTCCAACTGGCTGAAAATCACTGGCCATTCAGACCACAGCCAATCCATCACCGACTGCTGCCCCTCCCATTATTTGTTCATCTGCTGCTGGCTGTTTGCCCGCAGCCGCCCCTACTCCCCTCTTCCCTATAACCCACCACCTTAACCGCCACCCTCTCCTCTTTCCCACCTGCCCACCTATCCGCTTCCCGCTTCCTGATCCCTTCTGTCCGTCATGGAGCTTATATAGGCGAGGTGGTAACTGCGGGTCTCAGCAGTAGCTGCCGCTGATGNTTCCCCAACTGGGGGATTATCTTCAGCCTCTGCACCTTTGTACATTCCCCAGTTAGCAATCTATCATCTCACTCACAACACAAAGCAAGATATTGACGCTTGCAATGATTCTGGTGACATCAACTGATAAGTGGTAATGTAACATCTTTACTTGAACCCATCAAATCATCATGATAAATGTTATTGTGCACTTGGAAAAGTCGTCACTCATATTCACTCATGAAAGGAAGAAGTAAAAGTTGTTGATTTCTCATTGGTCATCCCTTGATTTGGATCTTCTGAAGGTGAATTTGTAACCCCGTTCACAGGTAGGAACTCGACTTTGATTGAGATTGTCACCACATTAGGCTCAAGACCTGGGAACACTCATGTATGATGTTGCGCAATGGGAAGTGTTCCAGTCACAGTGGGAGCAGAATTGAGTACAATTCGTAGATCAATCCATAAAGGGGAACAAGTCGACGCGAGTGTCGGGGGTCCCCTTTCTCAAGACCGCGAGATACGGGTCGCGACGCGGGTGGACGGGGAAAAAGGAAGTGGATAATGCTACGGGTCATTCAACGAGCAAAGATCCTACTTAGTACCACACTCCCACTCCCACTGGTTCGCTTGACGCGAAGTCGACCCATACAGACGATGCCTTCAACCGCCACCAAGAAGAAAACGACAACCAAGCGCAAGACCGAAGACCAGCCCAACGAGCCGGCAACCTCGAAAGCTGTGCCCGCGAAGAAAGCCAAAGGTCCAACGGTGCCGCTGCATGCTCATCTACCGAACAATCGCACCTTCCCTTCCAAGCTCGAATTCCCGGCCAAAAATCCGGACTCCCTCAGGATATCCGCTTGGTGTGTTCCTATTCGCGCCCATCTCGATCGCGGCTGTGCTTTAATGCCTGTCTCTTTGTAGGAATGTCTGCGGCATCAATGCCTGCGAGAAAAAAGGATTGAAAACCTACCTGGAAGCCGAGGACCCAGATATCATCGTCCTCAGCGAGACAAAGATTCAAGCCGAACCCGACATCATGCACATCAAACATCAATTTAAAGTTAAGCAAAAAAAAAAAACATTATGATTGTATCTCTGAAGATGTTTGCTACAGTTTTTGGCTGATAGCTCTATTGGATTCACAGTATAGGTATTGGGGTGGTGATGAGACGAAAGGATACGGTTCGTGTGATATGACCAATTTCACAAGACTTCGCACATGTTTAGAGGGGTGAGGGAATCTAACACATGATTTACTATGTTCCTAAGCCGGGGTGGCCATCCTTTCGAAACATAAGCCGCTAGAGGTAGTTTATGGTTTACCGACTGCTGATGACCAACCTTCAACCAAGGGACGTAAGCCTTTTTCATACTCTTCTATGACAACAAGGAATTCGAAAATAAACTAAAATACTCTCGAAATACGACATTTATCCATTCTCATTCAATTTGTACCTGCCAGGGATGATCATGTTGGAATTTTCAACCTTCTTTTTAATTGGTACTTATACACCCAACGCTGGCGACAATCTCAAGGTAATATACTTGAGATGAAATTGAATGTATAAATGAAATTAGTGCAATCTGCTGACCATTGCGTCTCACCATCAACCATTGCAACATAAAAACAAAAACAACTGAAAATGGGTCGAAATTGCTTCCTTCACAACAACAAGTTCATGAATCGCAAAATCGAATGGAATGTAGCATTTGAAAAGTACTTGCGCGAACTGGACGCTAAGAAACCAGTCGTGTGGGGAGGTATGTCTCCGTGTTGCATCCAAGAATACAAGACATCTTCTTGATCCTAGGGGTGACTTTCCATAGGTGATATCAATTGTGCGCTATCAGAAAAAGGTATCTCCAGAACACACAATCCTACTTTCATTTATTCCAATACCCACGTGAAACTGATAGAACTTAAACAATAAAACAACACTTGCAATGATTCATATCTCAACACATCTTAGATATCCGAAATGCGGCCAGTAATTGGAACAAAACTGCAGGATATACCCAGCAAGAGTGTGATGGGCTGAATAGCCAGCTGAGTCCACCAGAGGGTAGCAGGAACGAAAAACTGGTAGATGTGTGGCGAGAACTCAATCCTGACCTAGAGGGGCACTACACGTCTGTCACTTACTTTTTTGTTCTCCCTCCTACTTGATTTTTTTTATTCTCCTGTCTATCTCATGCCATCAACGTTGACGTGTAAAGTGCTTTTTTTCTCTTTTTTTTGGGTTATGTGGATCAGTTATTTTAGGTATTTCCATACTTGTTTTTTTTTTGAGCATGTACCGTATGTCTCTGTTTCTAACCTTTTTTTTTTGGGGGGGGGGGTTCTTGTTCTTTCCCTCAGTTATCGGTTCGGATGTCGGGAGAAAGGGATCGGATGGCGCATTGATTCATTCATTGTCAGTCCAAATTTTCGTGTGATTTCTCTCTCTTTTTTTCATTCAAGAAAAAAACTAATGAAATGTGATTTCATGGCATGGTGCGTCTCTCTCTCTCTCTCTCTCTCTCTTGGTGTGTACATGGATATGAAGGTATCTCAACGAGTTTTCGAGAACGTGAAGGCTTGCGAGATCCGTCAGGAATGCTACGGTGCATCGGACCACGTTCCTGTCATCATTGAACTCGCCGGCTTGTCCCCTTGAACCTCCCCCCCGAACCTTTGTATTTCCTTCCTTCCCACTTGAATACGTGCTTATCGCACATCCTTATTGTTTGATTAAAGGTCTAAGTTTCTTATCATCAAGTACAATCTTCTCTGCATTGTCTTTTTGCGGAGGAGCGCTTATCTATCTATAGTCATTTGTTTCTTGTTCTGCTCTAGGATGGTTTGATGCATCTTTTTTTTTGTGGCTAATGATCTCTTTTCAAGCCTTTTTATTTTTTATTATTACGACCACGGCCCGACGCGATCTACAAATATTGCAGTGGTCGTGTTCGCTTCCCCTCAGATTTTACTGCCACTCATTTACGATCGACGTACTTCTCATCAGCAACATCAGCAATTTGTAGAAACAGCATCAAGGCAAATGGGGCATCTTGCTGCAGCACTAGTGAAGAATTCTCTGACAATCAGCATTCAGTCATACCAGGCCGTTTTCCTTTTTGTTCATTATTATCATTTGGGTTTGAGTCTCACATTGGTACAATATAGTTTCATCATTCTTGGCCCCTGATCATCGCCACAAGGATATACGCATTTCAAGACAGAAAGATAGAAACTAATATCATGCTAAGCAGACACAGGCAATGAAATCTCCTGACCTTGCTCAACACGGCCTATATTATATCAATTTACTGCCGGAGACACACCGGCCAAATGGTCTAGTAGTATGATTCGCCCTTCGGGTACCACCGGCCCGGAAAAGGTCATCAAATGGGCGAGGTCCCGGGTTCAATTCCCGGTTTGGCCCCTTTTGCCGCGTTGAGAAGAAGCAGTGTCCTGCTAGGCAGCTTATTTGTGTGGTCCGAAGTGGAGGTCCTGTCAACCTCAAGTATTTTCCTAATTTTTGGTGGGTCCCCGGGGGAATGACCTTGCCAAATCTAGATGAGGGTATCCATGATACCAACTTATCTAAATCCACAGACATCATCACTTCAACAACAGGCCACCTCCATTTTACCATGATCTCCTGTTCCTTGATCGGATCTGTCCTGTTCCTCAATCTTCTTGACCATCCTAGGATTGACCATGCTTGAGTCAACTAGACAGCCAGTAGCAACACTGGTCAAGTGATACTATTATTAGTATGGCTAAGTTGACTAGATCAGTTGTAGTGGCACTTGAAGAGGTAGTGGTGGTGGTCCCAGTCAGGCCAGGCAGGTTGGGGTTTGTGACGTGTGAGGTAGATGAGGTTGGCAGTGGGGGTGGCAGGATGTTGAGTGAGGCTTGCTGCATGCAAAAAGATGCAACTGCGTTGGCAGCCCTGGTAAAAAAGTCTGAGTGCAAGCCCATCCCATGGCTAGAGCAGCTATTGGTCTCTGCTGTGGAATATTTCATTTGCATGAGTTCAACCCACTCAAATTCTGCCAGTGGTTTATCTAGCTCTGTAGCCATTGTCTATTGATCAGTCAAGTTGAATTGCTTCCATCTCATTCAACTGTTTCAATATTTCTTCAACAGCAAAGCGAGAAGATAAGGAAATGGAAAAGGTCCATGTCCAGCCTGTGTAATATTGGCTAATTTGAGACAATGGGGGAGCGGTTGAGAAACAGGATGGCCAATTTGGAGAAATCTGGAAATCTAGGATTTTGAATTCCAGATTTGGATCTGGAAGGGGATTCCAGATTGAGGGAAAGACCTCCAGTGATCAATCAGTTGGTGAGGGTATATTTCTTATGGTGTGGAAAGAAAAACCGACTCAGAAGGTAACTGAGAGTCCTTCTCCAATGTGTGTTGAGTACTCTTTGGTTTCACTGTGGAAAACTTCNACATTACTTGAAGGGTGAGAAAATGGCTGATCCAGGGGAGTCCAAAGGGTGGGAACTTATTGTTGTATGATTTTGGGGGTCTTCTGCTCTGTTGGCCAAGTGTCATTTGTCCCATAAAATTGTGAAGATTGAATTTCTTGAGGTCCAGTGGGGATTAAGCAAGGCTGCAAGGGGGTAACCTGGGATAACTTGGGCTTCTGATCCTGATTCTGTGGTCCTTGGAGTGATTTTCTGAGTTCTTGAGGGTTTGCTGCTATAGTGTAGGTGAAAAACAGGATTACTAAAACGGGATATTGAAATGAGTTCTATGACTAAACAGCCTAGATTCTACATCTGCAACAAGACAGGCCACATTGCTCCTGCGTGTACTCACAAAAAACATAGTTCTCCGTTCACCCCTAATCAAACCAGCTGGCCTTCTCATCTGAACATGCCCTATCCCCCTTGCTCCATTACATAAAACTATGACAAAGCACCCTATGTCCGCCCTATGCAGCCAGATCCACCCAGGCCCAATCAAAATCGCCCCACCCATCAATCTAACCACAGAACAACCAGCAAAACAAACCCAATGCCCGCGGTTGACTCAAAGCAGGTCAACTGCAACCTCTTTACCAAAGAAACAGAAGAAGACTACCCCTTTGAAAACAAGGATCTCTCACTCGAGCCTACCTTTGAATGCTTTGACCTGCAAGAAGTGGCAGTTGAAAGATATGGAAAAGATGTTATTTGGGATTCTGGAGCATCTGATAATGTGACAGGCGATAGGTACGCCCTTCATGACTTCAAGATTTTGCCTTGACCAATTGCTGTGAGGCTAGCAGCTGATGGCCTGTGCCACTTTATCACAGGTACAGGTACCTTGAAGTTTGCCGGGATGAACTCAACAACCATTGCAGTTAAACGGGTGTATTAATGTAAGGCTGCAAGATCAACTCTCATGTCTGGGGCTGCTTTGAGGAAGTCTGATGCGACATTCCAGGTTACTGGGAATTTTGACTCCATAGATCTCTTAGCGCTGAACGGGAAATTAATGCTACACAGCATCTTTGACCCCACTGAAGAAAAGATGGCCAGAGGCCTGAGAGGACTGAAAGGGATGAGTTGGAAAAACAGGAGCACAAGATGCTCAAGGACCTAGAACAGCAATGAGAGGGACTCAACGGAACATGTCTCACCACTATGGGCTCAGAACTAGGTGAGGTTTTTATTTCTGGAGTGGACACAAAAAACACAACATGGAGAAGGGGCCTCAGTTGAGTGCCTAAGATGAAAAAGAAAATAAAAGAAGGAAATGGAAAAAGAAGGAAGAAAGCCCGCTTTAGGGTGCAGTCACAATTCTAACACCCACCACTAACACATGGCCTCTCCCAAAACCCTCACCTGTTCTGCAGTCCCCTACTAGCACCTATTCCAAAGCCTGTACCCCAATTTCCTACTCCAATATCGAAATAAAGAATCTGTTCAAGTTGCCTAATGGTGCGGAATCTAGCCAGTTTATATGGAATCCCGCTGATCTGACCAAGGATGAAAAGGTTTTGCTTTTCTGGAATCATCTTTTTGGCCACGTAATCTTGAGACAAATAAGAAAATTGGTGAAACTGAAGCTGGGTTACCATTTACCAGACAACATGCCGGCGGGAGGCATGAAATGCCTGGTCTGTGCTATCTGCAAGGCAACTAGGACTTCTTCCCTTGGCCTGTTGAACAGACATTCAGAAAGGCTGTCAATCTTGGCAGTAGATCTCATGGGTCCCTTCGATCCTGCAAAGATGACAGGGGGTAAGTATGTATTGACAGTCAGAGATATACATACAACTTACAGTGAGGTGAAAATACTGAAGAGTAAGTCGGATGCAGCTGAAACGCTGATGACCACTCTCACCAGGTGGGAGACACAGAATGATAGCAAGGTGAAGACACTGCAATCTGAAAATGGGGGCGAATTTGAATCCAAGAAATTCTCCCACTGGATTCATTCAAAGGGGATCACGGCCAAACGCTCCCTGCCGTACCAACATTTCCAAAATGGTGCGGTGGAATGGTAGAATCAGATGTTTGCAGACATGTGCAGGAGTCTTATATATTACAGTACCCTTGGGAAGCAATTTTGGGGCTATGCCTTTATGTGGGAAGCTTTGACATTGAACGGGATTCCGAACAAAACTACTTGCAACATGACCCCGTATGAAGCATTCTACGCTGAAGAAACTCAACTGGCTTGTGTACATGTGTTTGGATCAACGGCTTTTGTACTTGTAGCTCCGGAAAAACGTAGGAAGCTCGATGATTGCTCTGTTGAAGGTCAGGTCGTGGGTCACCTCAAAGGATCAAAAGGTTGGACCTTTTGGATCCCTGTGACAAAGAAATTTGTCTCCTTGGCGTGGGCAAATTTTGGAAAATCCTGTCTACCAATGATACCAACGGAACCATCAGTGAAGAATCTATAACTAGGGACCTTCACAGACAAACTTATGGTTCAGGAGCAGGAAGCTAATGTTTATGCAGTGCAGATGGCCAACTCACCAGGAACTAGAGAGACGCCCACCACATTCCGTGAAGCAATGAGTTTGCCAGGCGCTCCTCCCTGGAAATCTGCCATAGAAAATGAACTTGAGAATCTAAGGCGTAAATGTGTCTGGAAAGTGAGGCTTTACCACGCAAGAGACACACCCTAGGACCCCGCTGGGTTTTTTCACGCAAAGTAGGAGAGAATGGATCCGTCAGGTACAAAGCCTGGTATGTATCCAAGGGATTCAACCAGAAAGAAGGAACAGACTATGCGCATACTTTTGCGCCAACTGCCACATTCACGTTGATGGGGATCCTTCTGGCAATTGCAGCAAAGAACGATTGGCCGGTGTACAAATTTTATTTTGTAGCTGCATATCTCAATGCACCTATCAACAAAGAGGTTTGGGTAAAAACTCCAGAGGGGCTAGATGTGGCAGAAGGCACAGCTTGCCTTCTAGAAAAGGCTCTGTATGGCGCAAGACAGGTGGCCAGATGTTGGTGGAAACACCTCAGCTCAACTTTGGCCTCTTTTGATTAAACATCTAGCTACTATGATTCAAGTGTGTATACCCTAGCAAACAAGGCAAACCGTTCCATCATCTGGGTGCACGTTGAAAATGGAATATTGACTGGATCATCAGAAAACATGTTGCGCTTTCTTGAGAAACAATTGAAGGGAAGCCTAGAGATCAAGTGGAGTGAGGGAATCACCAGTATGGTTAGAGTTAAGATATGCCGTTCAGAAGGAGGCTTCGACATGATTCAACCACATCTCATCAAGAAAATCCTGAAAGAAGCATGCGACGGAAAGACCATCCACAAATGCCCTCTTCTCAAAGGTTTCAACAGTACTTTTATTGCAGCTGAGTCAGGAGTCAAGATCAGAAAATATCTATTGATCATTGGCAGCTTGAACTATGTTGTGGAAAGAAAAACTGACTCAGAAGGAAACTGAGAGTCCTTCTCCGATGTGTGTTGAGTACCCTTTGGTTTCACTGCGGAAAACTTCTAGATTGGTGAGTATCATTCTTTAACCCCAATAACAAACACTCCCTTGTTGCCGCTCTTTGCACACTGCAACCCGGAAGGAGACTGTGAATGTTCTGCTTTTTGGTGATTCCCAAGCTTGACTCCTGATTTTTTCTCCGCTTTTCTTGGTTTGTTTTTGGATATATCAATAGATAGATACAAAATCTCCTGCGCTTCCCCACCCACAACTCCGCTCCCGCTTCCATTGAGTTCCTGCACCCCCAATTCCCATTCCCTGCAACACCACCCTGATTCAAACGCCCCTGTGTCCGCCTTGTCCTCAGGCCCCCGCTGCGCAACCTCCGGACCCCCCCTGGCGCTCTGACGGTCCAGTTGGCCCCTGCAGCGCCCTCCAGAACAACCCTTGTCCTCCCAATCTTCCTTGGATGCCCGCTCAAACCCCCAAAACCAAACCCCCCCTTGCCGGCACTCTCTCTGC